GGTGAAAATTTCATGTCATTAGCACCTCTAGTAATATATTTACTGAGAAAAATGTTGACGTTCAATATTTATTTTACCCACTGTATCTCAGAAACCACTGGGTGTATCTTAATGAAACATTCAGAACATTATCACTGGATGTAAATTTACAACTTAATAACTTTTGGAGTCAATCCATTTCAAGATGTTTATCAGAGCTAATCCATATGAGCTAATTCAGAAATGTGATAGATGTGTGATGTGACAGGTGTTGAGCTAAAATTTGATGTGGTAATTTCTGAGAAAACAGGTGCTCTGAGCGTGACATGTATACTGCCTTAGAGATTTTAATGTTATTTTCAAAGTTTGACCAAAGCAGCGACAACTCCGTCATTTCTTATCATAAGATGATCTGAGTCTAAATCTCTGGCATGAAAGGCAGTGAATGGTACGCAGTCCTTTTGTCTGAATAACTTTTTAAAGTAAATACACATTTACATATTTAGCATGTACTTTACTTTATTGTTTTGTGTTCACTGCTGCTGTTCAGCCTGTTCYGCAGGTCTTTCAGACTCGTTCTTGTTCTTGCTGATGTCAGGATGGTTTCAAGGACAGCCCCAGACAGCATTTATTTTTAAAACCCATTCACAGCAATCAGAGGATCTGCAGGAACACATGCTGCCCGTCACTGTAGCCGTGCAAAAACGAACACTTCTCTGGGCCACAAGTGACCAGTGCCAACCACACTTGGCATCAAGTAGCCATCTGCTGCAGCTGAACAATCGGGTTTCCTCAGGAAGCACCATCTGCTGGAATCAAGACATTATGGATGGAGAAATTTCCATTTCAAACACTCCTCTTCGATTGACGAAACAATTTGAGGCATTTCGACACATGCTCACCATGAGTGATTAGGCTATTTTAACAAAGAAGAAATTAAAAAGCTTTCTGAAGAAAATTTAAAGGCCACCGTGGCTCCATTTATAGAGCTCAAAAGTAAGTTGGGACTTTTTTTTTGTAATAATCTAAGGTCACAAAATGCTGCATCTTTGAGTGCAAGAAGTGTGAAGAAAACCGAGATGAAACATTCTGTTAAAGCTGCTGCCAGTGGCTCATTAAGGTCCCCATGACAACCACACACATGTCTTTTACTCCCTGACAGAAGTCCTAATAAGTCAAAACAGAAACATAAAGTAAGCCTCAAATAAACATCTTAAGATAAAAGTTGAACAGAGCTCCCGTGTTTAGTTTTCATAGTTTTTCCTGGCTTCAATAAAGCAACACAGTATTTGTGAGAAAAAGCTGTGTTTAATTTGAAATTCTTAAATCATTGTGCAGACATTACAGACAGTCCGATGCCAAAAACAAAATACAAACAAAAAACAAACAAAAACARTTGTGTGTGGTGTCCAATCCAAACCCACTTGCTAAATGTAATAGTTTAACATTTTACACTCATGTGAAACATACAGTTTTAATTAAATTACATAAATACACATCCGGTACAAAAATGTAGACTTTTAGAAAAGTTACTAAAATAGAATCTAATGGCATTTTGCAAATATTCTGTCTCAGACACATTCTTCATAAACTATGACTTTGTTTTGGTAGTGTTGTTAAAATGTCACGAGGAACGAAGCAACAGAAAGTGAAGACACGTACGGTGCAGGCAACAAATAATTACTAATATTTCATTCAGACTAACAGTGTTCATAAAGGAGCTTCATTACAATTAAAGAACTAGTTCAGATATTTTGACATGAGGTTCTGTGGAGAGGTTATGAACAGTTATTATCTTACCTGTTGTAGCTTTTTGACCGACTTTAGTTTGGGGAAATAGTTTATTAATTTAAAAATTTATCAAAATACCATTTTGTAAACATCACTGTCAATTTTCCATCCATCCATCCATCCATCCATCCATCCATCCATCCATCCATCCATCCATCCATCCATCCATCCATCCATCCATCC